TAACTTATCAGCGACTGGGGGAGACATGATTTTGAATTTTTGGAAACAATTTAACCACGATTGAATTTTTAAATTAGTATTTTAGTTTAACATTTTATATTCATATTCAGAATCAAATCTTTAGCTTCATGTGAAGAACTCGTGTTAACAGGAATATAGAGCATCTATCAATAAATATATAATAATATATATTGATATATAAAGAATAGATAGACCCTGACGAGTCTGAGGTCGCAGCATGGGTCGGTAACGTCTTGGTTCTGCCCTGCAGCTGGAACGACCTGCTGGTGGGCGCTCCTTTTTACTTCCACCGTCAGCAGGAGGCGGGTGGGGCAGTCTATGTCTACATGAATGCAGGAGGAAGGTTTGATTCCAGACCCAGTGTGGTCCTGAGGGGGCCGGACAGATCTGGGTTTGGTATGGCTGTTACTGCTGCTGGAGACCTGAACCAAGATGGCTTCCAGGGTGAGGACACACCTCGCTGATGATGACATGATGGTCACGTTAGTAATCAGTAACCATTAATCAGCTTGTTGTTGTTTCTCAGACTTTGCAGTCGGAGCTCCTTTCCATGAAACAGGAAGTGTGATGATCTGGACTGGGAGCAGTGGGGGGGTCTCTACAGAACCGAGCCAGGTCTCACACAAGTTTGTCTTCCTGTACTTAAGAGAACCCTCATTAACATAAACCTGACCCTTACCTGAATCCCACACCCCCTGTCTCTGTGCAGGTGATCAGGGGCAGCAGTGTCTCTCCTGGGTTCAGGACTTTCGGGTACTCCCTGTCCGGAGGTCTGGATGTTGATGGGAACAGATATCCAGACCTGGTGGTTGGTTCTCTGGATGACAGCGTTGCTCTGCTCAGGTAGTCAGGTCATTTACGATGTTCTGTTCATGTTCCGTTATACCTCTACTGCTCCACATTTAAAAAAAATATATGTAACATTTATATTTATAGTATATATATATATTATATACACATGTACTGTATATATTTTCTTTAGTGTAGATTTCAAATAGAAAACATCAGCTACAGTGTGAAACAACATAAAACATGTTTATAAGTTTATAATAAGTTTATAATAACTAATAACAACTATACAGTCTGTGTGTAAACATGTAAATAAACATGTTGCTCACATGTTTACATATCAGTTATTGATTCTTTTAATTGATTGATTAATTGTTTCCTCAGAACTCGTCCAGTCATCCACCTGAATAAAACCCTCAGAGTTTCTCCAGACGTCGTCGACCCGAACAGCTGCAACTTCTGGTGAGATTCAAAGCTGATACTTGCTCACAGGCTAACAAGCTAACATGCTAACAGACTGACTCAGTGTGTGTGTGTGTGTGTGTGTGTGTGT